TCTTGGTCTTAGGTGTGGACCCAGCATCTTTTGATGCTGACAGGGATCCTGTGTGTGTGGTGGCCACAGAGGAGGTCAGTGCTTTCAGATCTGGGTCTTCTTCAGAGTTAATGTGTAACCTCAGAGCTAGGGCCTGATCCACTCTATTCAGTGGACTCTTATTCCCTGGAATTCAGTAGACTTTGGATCAGTTGACTGGCTCTGAATTTCAAGTGGTTTTCAGAGTGGATCTTAAGAGCTACTGTCCCTCTCACAGATCTGAGTAAAATCATGCTTTCCACGAAGGCAGGGGAGCCAAAGCCTCTGAGAAACCCTGATGCTTAGGAATGGGAGGACTGTTAAGCACCTAAAATCTGGAAAGCATGGCTGTGGAATGTTAAATCCTGCCAGGCCAGTCTGTCCTCGGGTTTGGGCCTTCAGGGACAGCATCAGTCCTGGTTCTGATGTGGCCACTGTCACTGTGGTGACTTGGGGTAGGGACCCGGCCAACAAATTAAATAAACGAGAAGGAATATAGGAGTCACTTAAATTAGGCAATGGGTAACGTGACCTGTCTCCACCAGGCTGAACTCCTTTGAATTCTCCAGCTTGGGAAGGTATTTGGAGTGATCTGGAAGGCCTTCCAGGCTCTGATCTGTACTGAAACATTCCTGTGGGTACTGGAGAATCCCCGTTGCTCATCGAGTGCCACGCACCCACAGGAATGGGCTGGATGTACTGGAGTGCTGCAGAATCTGATTCTTGCCAGGAGGCAGGGTGGGGGAAAAGCTTTTCACTTTATATGTCCAGAGGGGTTGCACAAGCTCATCATGATGTTTACTGTTCTGGTTTTATGTTTTCCTAGCACAGAAATCCCCCTTTTTCTGGGATTATTTTGCAAAATGTTAACAGTGACTGAAAATTATGCACAGAATAGTGCCAGAAGCTTTACCCTCTCTGCCAGAGGTTAGCAGCTGTGGAGCAGAAGTGGACATACACTGCTTTGTGCTCAGCCAGTGTTTCTGTTCTGGAGTCTGTAGGATCAGGGAGGGGCCTGGGAGCAGTTCATCCTGAGGTGGGCTCTTGTTCTCCTCTTTTCTGCCCACTCAGCCACTCTTCCTCGTAGCCAAATGGCCTTTTAAGAGCTTGTGAAGCTGAGCTAAGAGGAGCACCACCTCCAGCATTAGTCAGCCTGACAGCAGGATCCAACCTTGCAGAGCACACCCCTGGGAAGCGTGGGAAGAGGGGGGATGAGGATCCCTGAGCACGGTGGGGAAGTGGGGAAAACGTCAGCCAGCTGCAGCACTGCAGAGTGTGGAAATAGTAGCACAAGAGTTAGGGCCTAAACATTTAAAGTCCTGAGTGCCCTTAACTGTCACTGATTGCTAGGAGAAGTTCTCTCCAGGGAAACGTTAAGAATTTTTTTGGCATAAGCCAGCTGAAAGAGCTGTTAGGGATCGGGGCTCCTTGGCGTCACACGCTCGGGCTAATTACTTTCCAAATGTATTATTTAAACTAGCCCTAATCCAGTAAAGTGGGCTGCCTTATTCAGAGACTCTTTGGCTTTTCTGCAGAATGGGATGAAAGCATCCAGAGGACGTTGCTCTGTGCCGACACCAAGCTGGACTCATTTGCCTTTGACAATTTAAAGCCATCTGGGAGTCGCTGATCTTTCAGGGCAGCAGCTCTGCAGGTTTCTCCTTTCCCTTCCGCTATTTATTGCACTGCTTGAGGAAAAATGATCCAGCTGGTGGTTTTGGCCTACAAACAGAGAGCAGAGCCGTTGTCTGCTGCCTGGTCATTCACCTGCAGGAGCCTCAGCTCTGCCCTTTCATTCATTCTCTCTCCTGCCCGCAGGTCGATGGGCTGCTCTTCTACCACAAGCAGACCCACTACACCCCGGGCAGCACCCCGCTGGTGGGCTGGCTGCGGCCCTACATGGTCCCTGAGATCCTGGGGCTCACCGTGCCCGCCACTGAGCTCACAGCCAAGCCCGACTACGCCGGGCGGCAGCTCCAGCAGATCATCGAGAGCAAGAGGAGCAAAAAGCTGGCGGCAGAAAAGGGCCAGGCAGCCACGAGGAACGGACACTACGAGCTGGAACACTTGTCCACCCCTCAGCCAGAAAAGTCTCCGGAGGGCCGGGATGGAGCAGTGAGCCAGATGGAGAGTTGAGCTGCTGGGACAGCCCAGCTGGGCAGAGAGCAGGGAAAAAGCTCCCTGCTCCTCACTGTGCCTCGTGCTCCTGAGGGGGCAGAGTAATAATGATAGGATGGCTTTGTTTAAAGGGCATGACAGTGGAATATCTTGCCCCAGGTGCTGATGGATTTTTTGTATTTGTTGTTAGTATATACCTATATACTCCTTGCCAGGACTTCTGTGAGGCCTTAACAGCATGGTTCTTCACTAAAGCAGTCATGTGTTGGGAAATGATTTGTCCCCATAGCACAGGAATACAGTTCAGCTCCTGACCCCGCTTCTGTTAGAGTCTTGGCAAAACTCCAGCATAGGAACAGTGCTTGGACCTCTGAGGTGCAGCTGCTGCTTGTGACCCTTGCAGCAGCCCCACCTTCCCAGCCCTGGAAACTGGGGCTCCTCAGCCTTTGATCCAGCTGTTTTCTGAGGCCTTTCCAATGAAAGTTGTTACTAACAAAAAGTTTGCAGTGATCTGCTGTAAATGCAAAGGCTGGACTTTCCACACCCATGCGTTCTTGGGAAAATCTAAATTTCCCTGCGTTGCAGCAGGACCTGCCTTGGAGCAGGGCTTTGTGCAGCGCGAGCACGGCAGAAGCCTCTCTCTCCTCAAGGCTTTTCTCCCTAGTGGGGGGAGGAAGGAATGGGTTCTCTCTGAAAAACGCTACCATTGATCGTGCCAAATAAAAGGTTTCTCAGAAAGACAAATTCTTGAGCGTCTTCCTGCTACCTAAGGGTGGATGCGTGCTGTGCCTCCCAAATAGGGATTGAAAAATTGGTTCCAGTGCTGACTGGAGCAGAGGAAACGCTTGTGTGGGTTTAATTCTCTGCACATCGAGGTACTTCAGTCTCTTGTCCTGTCTTTCTCATCCCAGCCCAACCCCACCTTTTAAGCACCAGCTGCTCCCCCTCCCTGGTTTTGGGGGGATGAAATGATCGTTCTCACTGTCCCCAGGTTGGTTTCCAGAGAGAGATGAAAAGGAGGGAGATGAAATACCAAGCTCACAGCAGCGTTGGGGACTCTCCTCCCAGCTCTCTATGGAAATTCCCCTGGAGGAGATACTGAGAATGGGGATGGCCACCTGCAGATAGCGGGTACACTTGTATCCTGCCCTTGCACCCCCCGTTTTTCCCAGAAAGAGCCTGGTTTCTGTGCCAAGCGTGTGGGCTGTGTGCGACCATCTGGCCGTGCAGCGCTATTGATGATAGCAGCGGGCAGCAGGAACTGGCCTGGCTGTGGGAGGGGGCTGCCCTCCCCTCCCCTTCCCCGCCAGGGAAGTGGCACCCTGGCCCCGCAGTGTTAGAGCTGTCGCTTTCAAACAGCTGCTTAAGTTACTGGTTTCGGTGTTATTTTTTTAACATATGAAGCAGCTGACCGAGGGAAAGAGGATGAGCACCTGGACTGCCTTAACCTCCCAATCCCTCAAAGGTTCCCACCTTCAGCCTCCCTGCTTGGCAGACGTCTGCAGGGAGAGCGCTGAGCAGGAGACCTCATCCAGCCTCCTGTCAGCAGAGTTTTCCTTCCATCAGGCAATTAAACCCGGAGGTGGGCATCTGGATGGAAGATTTGTGCATCCCTTAGGGCAGAGAAAGCTGCAGCTCAGGTTACTGCCCTCCAGCAGCTTTCCAAGGTCCTCCAGGAGGGAAGGAGAGTAAATACACCCGAACAGGGGCTGTGTGCGCTGATGGAGGAGAGCAAGAGGGAAGCGACTGCAGCTTCCCGCCGGCTCCAGATGATGCCTCATAGTTTCCCTTTTAAAAGCATGAGCTGGGCTGGAGAAATAAATATTTGCGTTACAATTCCTGTTGGGAACGAAAGGCTGTTTTTGGAGGGAGGGTGTCAAACGGAAGTCGCAGGGGCCAGCACAGTTTGGTGCCGTGACTATTCTGTTTGCTGGGTGCGATCCCACTCCCAGCAGGAACGGGCAGCAGCTCCGCTGGAGGGGTCACCCCACCGGGGGCTGAAATTTGGCCCGGGGCAGGAGAGCTGAGCAGGCAGCTCGACCAGGAGATGTGGCCTGGGGCGCTGGGGGACAGAGCCAGCCTGGAGCCCTCATCCAGCCGGGGCTCTCAGCCCCTTCCCTCTACCCTACTTCCATTTTCTCCCAGTTAGGTGCAGAGGCTCCGGCTGTAGGCACGCTGCCAGCACAGTGCTCCTCGGCTGAACAAAATGTCCCCTTGTCCCAGGGCCTGGCTTTTTGGAGCGACCGCTGCTGTGCTTCCCGAGATCCCCGCTCCTTCCCGAAGGAGCTTCGGGACTCTCCATCCAGGCGCTGACACCTGCGCTCGGCTGGGAAATGCAATTTAGGGACCGTAGAGGAAGAAGTGGAAAGAGACGCCTGGAAACCCCGGACTCCTGCTCGTAGGGGGAAGGCTGCGCGGCTGAATCCCGGCAAGGGAGAAAGCTGTGCCGGGAATTTTATCCAGTAACAGCAAGGGAGGATGCGGCTGCCGGGAATTTTATCCAGCACCAGCAAAGGGAGGAGGATGCTGCCACCATTTTAGCGGCGGCGCTCCCGCCTGCCGCGGCCGGAACCGGGGCTCGGGGAGCCGCCGCGGAGCCGGGGGGGCACCGGGCCCCTCCGGCCCCATCCCGGCTGCTGTCCCCCGCTCGCCCCCCCGCCGGGGAGGGCTTCCTGTCCCCCGCCCGCCCTGCGGGGTCGGCCGAGCCGCGGGGAGGGGACGGGGAGGAGGGACCGGGGGCTGCGGGCGCTTCCTGCCGCCGCCCCCGCCGGGGCAGAGCGGAGCGGGGCGGGAGCTCGGCTCGGCCCGGCCCAGCCGAGCGGCGCTCCCGGGCCGAGCCAAACTTCCCGGGGGGCTCACACCAACACACGCACACGCATACATAGATATTTAATTTAATTTAATTTAATTTTTTTCCCCCGTTTTATTTTAATTTTCTCGGCACTTTCGGCGGGGCCCCTGGGGCGGAGCCGCCCTCGCCGCCGGGAGGGGCCGGTGCCCGCAGCGCCGGGGATGGGCTCCGCCGGGGCGTCCTCCGCCTAGAGCAGCCCGGCTCGGCTCGGCCCGGCCCGGCCCGGCCCGGCGCGCAGCATGGCCGCGGAGCTCAGCGCCGAGGAGGAGCAGGTAGGTCCCGCCGGGCTCCTCTTCCCCGGGTCGGGCTGGGCAGGACCTCGAGGGCTCCTTCCCCACACCGCTCCTTTCCCATCGTTTTTTGGCTAGCCCGGGTTGCCAGGCTGGTTTTTTTCCCAGCCAGGCGATTCTCCCGATGGGAAGCGCCCCCATCCCCACGCAGCCTCCCACCCATGCAGCCGCCAAAGCCGCAGCCTCCCAACCCACGCAGCGCCCACCCTACAACCCCCATCCACGCACCCCCCCAGCCTTCCCGTTCCCCAGGAGCCCTCGCAAGGCCCCTGCCGTGGGTGCTGGGGCGTGGGTCCCGCATCCCCAGGGCAGCGTGGCCCCGCTGGCAAGGCTCCCTGCGGTGGGGATGATGCGTGGGGATGATGCGTGGGGATGGATGGATGGATGGATGCGTGTGCACGCGCTTCCCACGCCCCAGGCCTCCCGTGACGTCCCGGCTTCCTCCGCCGGCCTTGCGTCACCGCGGGAGGATGTTGCTGGGCTCGGGGAACGGGGCCCTGGAGCCGGCCGGGCCGCCTCGGGTGGCCGCAGCAATCCCTGCCTGTCCCCTCCTTTGTCCTCTTCCCCAGGCTTGCCCACCCACGGCCGCTGGGCTTCCCTGTGGATGGGGATGTGGAGCCTGGGAGCGGGACTGGGCGAGCTGCCGGGATCCCTCTGCCCCCTCGGGCTGTCACATTGGCCACGTTGGTGGCGCTGGCGACTGCAGAGCCAAGGCAAAAAAGTCCCGTTTTCCTTCCAAAATGGTCGGTTTTCCAGTTGGTTGGCTGGTTGGTTTTCTTCTTTAAAAATCCTTCGTTTCTACAGGGAGGTTTAGGAGGGCTGGGATGGAGGTGCCGAGTTCCAAAACCTCCGTGGAAGAGCCCCTCCTGCAGCCTGCGGTGGTGCTCAGCAACTGCAGAGCTACCAGGCTCTTTCCTCCTGGGAGCAGCACTGCTCTCTCCAGGGTGATAAAATCCCAAGGAATGGGGAGTGTCCTTGGAGCGTCCAAGGAGGGAGTGTCCTCTGTCCCCACAGGTGCCTGAGATTTGCGTTTCTCCTGTGTCATGGAGGGGGCAAAGCTTCCAGAAATAGAGGTTTTGGAGATCCTGCACCGGCAGGGAAGGCTGGTTTGCAGTGGGAGCAGCATCCCAGGAGAGGGATCTGAAATGTCTGGTTTGTTTGGGAATATTGGATGGAGAAGGTGAAGAGATGTTTGCAATAATGGCTCCAGGTTTGGGTCATCAGCTTGGTGTGGGGAAGGCTGCCTTTCGTGCTGCCCTTGGTGGCTTGGAAGCCAAAATAACGGAAGTTTCCTTCTTTTCGTGGGTAAGTGGTGGTTTGGGCTGGAACATGCCCTTCCTGCCATCCCTTCATCCTTCTTGGAACCATCAAGATTTCCTCCACTCTCCCCTGTTACCAACAGCAAGCCAGAGGGAAATTCACCCTTCTCCTCTTAGGCCAGCCTTGGGACATCTCTTCTACTGGCTCTCTGCACCTCCCTCCCTAGCCTATCCCCAAGGAGCCAAACCAATTTTCCTTGAAGGTTTTCAGCCCAGCTGCACTTTTCACAGCTTTATCCCCCACTTCCCCACGCTGAAGAAGGAGGGCAGGTTTGCTGCCTGGGGGAGGAGGGCTGGGAGAACCCCTGGATTCCGGCAGCAGTGGCTTTGTCACCACCCTGCTCCAGCACAGCGGGGACGGGGATGACGCCAGCACTCCAAAGACCAGCATTGTTCCAAACGCCTGGCCACGGACAATTTCACTCTCAGTGCTGCAGAAACAGGACTTCTTGCTGCAGCTCTGGGTCACAGGCTTTGTTTTTGGCACGTGGAGCAATCCCTGTTCTGCTGGGATTGACATGTGTATAAATCCATTTGGGATTGGGGCTAGGAATGATGATGAGACCCAGTGGAGCACAAAGAGGGCAGAGCTATGGCTGGCATTGATGCTCAGCTCTGTAATGCCTGGCTCCCTGCTGTTGAATAGCAGCCCTGGTAAGTTTGGAATTTGGTTTTGTTCCCAGGGAAAGCTGGAATTCATGGCTGAACTGCCCTGCAAAGATAGTACTTGTTCTTGTGTAGTGCATCTTCCCCTTGCAAAAAGCCTATCATCCCTCGTGACAGCTGCTGGAAATGGGATTGTGTGAAGTGTGGCGGGTTAGATGTTGAGGAAGCAGACCTGAACTGCAGGCTGCATCCTCTCCTCATTGCCATCATGCCCTCTGGGCCTCTCTTCCCATCATCTGGGGACTCCCTTCCCGTTATCTTGGTGTATCATTGCCAGCTTAGGCTGTGGTGTCAGCTCTGGTCTTTGTCCAAGGGAAGTGGGATTTGTACCTGGCTCTCACTCCCATACCTTGCCTGTCCTGCATGTGCTGGGGAAGGATCTTCTTCACTTATTTTGGGTTTGCATCTGCAGCCCTGGATTTTGAGCAGCTGGGTGCCACAGGGGATGCCCTGGCAAAGCAGAGGTGTGCCCAGGATATATTGATAGGATATGTTTACAGATAGAATATATTCCTGTATGTGTGGATGTCTGCTGTGTTAAGGCTGAAGATGGTTCCTGTATTGCCCCATTTATTTTCCTGTGGTGCTTGCCTGGCTGCTTTGTGTGACTCTGGGACCAAGTTAGGGAGCTCCTGTCTGCAGAGTGCTGAGAGAGACCCCTGGGATGAGCTGGGCTCCTCTGGCCCATCCCATGAGAGGGGCTCCCTGTCCCTGCCGAGCCTCGCGCCGCCGATAAACCCCGGCCCTTCGCTTCCTCCTGTCGGAAGTCATTAACACCGACAAGCTTTTCTGGCTCAATAGCTCCCAGTAACTCTGAATAGTTCCCAGTAACTCCGTGCCTGACATCCTACACCGCCGCCTGGCTGCCTCCCTCCCTCCCGGAGCCAGCCTTCAGCACTCCCCTCCCTCTCCACCTCCTTGCTCACCATCCTCTGCTCTGGGCAGCTTGGAAGCTGGTTTATTTTGTGTATGCCTGGGTGGGAGGAAGGCATTTTGGTGTCTCCCTCCATGCTGCCTGCATCCTTTGAGCAGGATGCAGTGGAACACTGGGCTGCACTGCCCTGTCTCCCCTGGGGCTCCTGTGTGGGACAGGGGATCAATCCACAGCAGAAGGCAAAGCTGCATCCTGGGACCCTCCTGGTGTTCCATGTATGTGTGAAACTGGTGTTATTGGGTGAGCTGGTCCATGCCCTGTAGCAGGTCGAAGTGTCAGCCCTCAGTGTCACTGTCTGTGTTCCCACAGCCGAGTTCGCTGCCCCGTGATGGAGCTGCAGCCCCAGGAGGCCACTGCCTGCTGATGGGGCTGTGCTGGGGGTGCTGTGTCTGAATGGGAGTTTGTTACCTGTAAAATCCTCCTTTTAGTTCCCCTCTCCTTTCCATAAGTGTACCCCAGCCTCCAGGCCATTTTTCCCACCCCTTGCTCCCTTTCCCATGCAGCATTTCTGCCGTCTCCATCACCACTGCCCTTACCCTTTTGTGGTGGAGCTCCCTGCTTCACCCTGAGAAGCTGCTGGGTCTTTTGAGGATTGTATCTCCACAATGACCAGGAATGCTCCTTGGCCACCCCTCCTCCTTCTCCTCCTCCTTTCACCCTGTCTCACTGCATGCCCCTGATCTCCCCCACAGGCCACCAAGCAGTTCCTGGAGGAGATCAACAAGTGGACAGGCCAGTACAATGTGTCCCCGCTCTCCTGGAATGTGGCTGTCAAGTTCCTCATGGCCCGCAAGTTCGACGTCCTGCGGGCCATCGAGCTCTTCCACTCCTACCGGGTAAGTGAGATGGGAACCCCCCATCTGAGGGCTTCCTGCTCCCTGGGACCACCCTCCCCCTCTGCCTTTTTCTTTTTCTCTCTCCCTTACAAGTTTTATCCAGCTGGAAAATCCTTTTTCAGCCAAGGCGGGTTGCCATGGAGATCTCACCGATCCCAATCCCTTCCTGTGCTCTGGGAGCAGCTCATGGGGTGCCCTCCTGGCTGGTGTGTGCTGCCCACAGAGCATTTCCCTATATGTTAAGGATATACATCCATGATTTCCTTTTCCAACCTGGTGTTGCAAGGCTGCTCCTTCTGTTACTGGGGGGTGTACTGGAAGATGATCCCATGGAGCAGAGGTTCCCTGGGACAGCTGGGTGCCCCGTGGGGCAGAGGTGGGCCGTGCCTGTGCCCCCTGTGCCCCCTGTCACTGCCCTCTGTGCCACAGGAGACGCGGCTGAAGGAGGGGATTGTGAAGCTGAAGCCGCACGAGGAGCCGCTGCGCTCGGAGCTGCTCAGTGGGAAATTCACCATTCTGGTAGGTGGGGTGTCCCCCAGGGAGCTCCCCCAGCTGGGTGGCTTATCCCAGCTCTGTTCCACGGGGGTGCTCAGGAACCTGACCCCATTTCCTCGGCAGAGCGTGCGGGACCCCTCGGGAGCCTCCATCGCCCTGTTCACAGCCAAGCTGCACCACCCCAGCAAGAGTGTGCAGCACGTGGTGCTCCAGGCTCTCTTCTACCTGCTGGACCGAGCTGTGGAGAGGTGAGCCTGCCTCTGCAGGGGTACCCTGTGTCTCACACTGCAGGGTCCCCAGGGAGCACGTTCCTGCCAGGGAGATCACTGCTCCTCATAGCTTGAAATTCCCTGGTTTGAGCTCCAGCCAGTCCTCCTTATGGAGCTGTTCAGCAGGGGAGCAAAATCCCCCAAGCCCTGAGCCAGGCTCTTTGCAGCCTTGCCCTGTCCACGCCCTGGGTTCAGTTTAGCAAAGTCCTGGATTCCTTCAGGCTCTGGCTGGGGAGGAGGCAGCCCCACCATCAGACAGACGTAACGTGAGCCCTGCCAAAAATATAAACCCGGGACATTCCCCTGCCATTTATCCTGCTGGGCTCTTTCTGTTTTTGACCTTACCCATCACAAGTGATGCTGCTGAGGCAGGCTTAAGGCACAAGTCAGGCTTAAATGACGGTTGTAGGAAGAGATGGTGAAGCAGCTGGGAAGAAGCAGGGTTTGAGTCTGTGAGTCCTTCTGGAAGCATGGCAAGGGATTTTCGGGGGTCAGTGTGGGGCAGAGCTGGTGGTGCAGGAGCCAGGTGGTTGCATGTTGTGGGGTTGATGTTGTTCTTTTCCTCCTCTCAGCTTTGAGACACAAAGGAACGGGCTGGTATTCATCTACGACATGGCAGGGTCACAGTACACCAACTTTGAGCTGGACCTCAGCAAGAAGATCCTCAACCTGCTCAAGGTGGTACCTGGGGGTTCACTGATATCTGAGGACAGTGTGTGGGCCACTCACTCACCAAGAACCCAAAGTCCTGTGGTTTTGGCATCAATTTGCCCCCCAGACCATGCTGACCACGTCTCAGCCAGGAGCACCAGCTGCAGGACCTCAGGGAGGCACTGGGAGCTTGCCAGGCTGGACCCGGCTGTGGCTGCGGTGTGGCGCGGGCGGGAGGGATCAGCTGTCCCCGGGCTGGATTCCTCTCACAGCTGCTGGCAGCACTTTTGGGAAAACAGATGCAAATTATTTTTTAATCGTGCTGGCATTTGGTGCCTCCTCCCTTCTCCGGAAAGAAAATCAATAAGAGTAAATACTGGCCGGGGTGTGTTCTTTGCATAATCCTGGTTCCCAGTCTTCACCTCTCCCTGTGGAGCCAAACCCTCTGCTTACCTAATTCCAAAGAAGTAATTTGGTTCTGTATCAAGTCATAAAAGCAAGCACAGCTGTGAGCGTGCGAGGCACACTTCAGACGTGGCATTGCCCTCATGGGTTCCCTGTGCTAGCTGCTGTCACCTCTGCTGGGATATGTCCCCTGCCACAGCAGAGTGGGTCTGACCCCCTCCTCATGCCCACAGGGTGCCTTCCCAGCTCGGCTCAAGAAGGTTTTCATCGTGGGAGCACCCATGTGGTTCCGTGTGCCCTACTCCATCATCAGCCTGCTGCTGAAGGAGAAGCTGCGGGAGCGGGTGAGTGGGGACCCTCCTGGCATGGGACTCTCCTGGCACAGGACCCTCAGCAGGCAGGGCTGAGGCTGCTTTCCCTTCGTGCCAGGGTGGTGGAAGCAGCTTGTGCCATTCAGCCCCATCTGCTGGAAGCTGCCAAGCACCAGACCTTTGGCATCCCTGTCCCCATCCCTGGCGAATCCTCTCCAACCTTCTTGGAGTCACCCCTGCCTTTCCCCTTCCTCTCACAGGTGCAGATGGTGAAGATGTCAGAGCTGAAGGATCACCTGCCCCGGGAATGCCTCCCTGAGTACCTCGGAGGGTCCCTCAAACTGGACCCTCTGAGCTGGAACTGCCGGTTCCTGCCCCAGCAGAACGGGCACCCCGACCCCCTGGACGAGCTCATCCTGGTGCCGCTGGCGGCCCCCAAAGATAACGGCTCCGTCCACGTCCCCGGGCCCAAGTCTGTCACCCTGCAGGAGCTGCTGGATCATGTCAGCCACAAGCAGAAACGTGGCATCTATGAGGAGTACGAAGACATTCGGCGCAGGAGCCCGGCCGGCACCTTTGCCTGCTCTTTGTGAGTTGTGGGAGGGAGCCAGGCGCCCCTCTCACCCCAAAAAGCTGTGAGCACCCCCACCCCAGGCTTCTGCTGCTGGGTGGAGGCCATCAGCCTCTTCATGGTGTGGGGCTTTGGGTTAGCAACAGAGAACCCCAGCCTAGGGTTGGTGGGAGCCCTTTTGTGGGTCCTGCAGCCTCTGGGAGTAAGGGGGAGCTGCAGAGGACAGCAGGGACCAGGACGTGGCCGGGACTCTGCTTCCCGAGGCTTTGGCCAGGTGATGGCAGCAGAGCCCAGGCTACGGGCCCCAGAGGCTTGCACAGAGGGAGGGATGCTGCCTTTGCCTGCCTGGAGTACATCCCTGCTTCCCTCTCCAGGGCACCCTACAACCAGGACAAGAACCGGTACGGGGACGTGCCCTGCCTGGACCAAACCCGTGTCAAGCTGGCAAAGCCATACAGCCGCCCGGAGGTGAGCCAGCCCAGGAGGAACCCCACAGTCCTGTGGGAAGCTGGCACAGCTGTCCCAGGGCTCTGGAGGCTTTATCTCACCTCTGCTTTTCTCCCTGCAGCTGACTGACTACATCAATGCAAGCTTCATGGATGGCTACAAGCAGAGGAATGCTTACATCGGCACTCAGGGTATGGCTGAGCCAACAAGGGGATGTTCTGCTCCTGGTGCACCCATGGGTTCCACCTCTCTGCCCAGTGTCAGCCGCTGGCCATGGGGGACATCCCAGGAGCTGGGCACTGCCCAGCAGGTCCCCCTTTTCCCAGGGGGTATTTACTCCTCACTGGGTGTATTTATCCCCTCTCAGTTTCCAGCTAGTGGACTGAAGTTTTTCCTGGAAGAGAGCAAGGGGATTCATCTTCACCCATGATAGCAGCCCTCTCCCTGCCCCTATCCCAGCTCTGGATTTGCCCCATCTGCCCAGGGATGAGCAGAGAGGCAGGATCAGCACTGAGCCATAGGGACACAGTGCTGGAGGTGACAGTCAGTGGCAGCTCCAGACTGTTCATGGATCCACACCTGGGTCAGCCCCTACAGGAACGGACTGTGGTTTCCTGGCGGGGGGGTGATGGGGGGCTGGTGGATTCCACTGGACAGGGGGTTGCCCAGATCCGTGAGGTTTTGGGCTGATGTGTTGGTTGTCCCTGCAGGGCCTCTGGAAAACACCTACGGTGACTTCTGGCGCATGGTGTGGGAGCAGAACGTCCTGGTGATTGTGATGACAACCCGGTGAGCACTCATGGAGGGACACAGCCCTCTTTTTCTGTGCCAAATGAGCAGTTCTGGTGTGGGATAAGCAATGCTGGGCTCAGGGCAGTGATCCTGCAGCAGTGGTGCCAGCCAGAGCCCCACAGAGGCGGGACATTGGGTCAAGGATAGATTGTTTGTTCCCTGTGGGATCCCCAAAGGACCAAGGCTGGGTGGTATGGGAGATGTCTCAGGCAGGACAAGGAGGACATTACCAGCTTGTTGTTGTCATGCTCCCAGGCTGGAGGAGGGAGGCAGGAGGAAGTGCGGCCAGTACTGGCCCCTGGAAAAGGATTTCCAGGTGTGCTTTGGGGCCCTGACCATCACCAACCTGGGCGTAGAGAACCTCAACCATTACAAGAAAACCATCCTGGAGATCCACAGCTCAGAGGTGCGTGGGCACAGCTGCCTGGTGGAGGAATGGCATGGGGGCACCAGGGGTCAGGGGAGGAAAGAGAGTCTAAACCCCCTGCTTTCCCCAGACCAGGGAGAGGCGGCTGGTGTCCCACTTCCAGTACCTGAGCTGGCCAGATTATGGCGTCCCCTCTTCCGCTGCCACTCTCATTGACTTTTTGGGGGCCGTGAAGCAGCAGCAGAGAGTGGCTGTCAGTGCCCTGGGACCTCGCTTCAAGGGCCACCCCGGGGGACCCCCAGTTGTGGTGCACTGCAGCGCTGGCATTGGCAGGACAGGTAATGGGTGTGGGGGAGGATTGGGGATGGTGGGGTGACAGGTCCAGCTTTCCTGAGGCATTTCCATCCTGGGGATCCACTGTCTCTGTCTCTCTGGGGAGCCTCTCAGGGACCCTCAGCCAGTCCCGAGTCGGCAGACACCGGGGGGCAGCCCCGACACGGCCAACAGTGGGGAGACACTGTGTGTGCCCCGAGGGTACTGAGGGCACCTGGGCTGGTAGGGAGACACTCTCTGTGCCCCGAGGGTACTGAGGGCACCTAGGCTGGAGGGGAGACACTCTCTGTGTGTGCCCCGAGGGTACTGAGGGCACCTGGGCTGGGGGCAGACACTCTCTATGCCCTGAGGGTGCTGAGGGCACCTGGGCTGGGGGGAGACACTCTCTGTGCCCCGAGGGTACTGAGGGCACCTGGGCTGACAGCAGGGAGACACTCTCTGTGCCCTGAGGGTACTGAGGCACCTGGGCTGGCAGGGAGACACTCTCTGTGTGTGCCCCGAGGGTGCTGAGGGCACCTGGGCTGGGGGGAGACACTCTCTGTGCCCCGAGGGTACTGAGGGCACCTGGGCTGGTCGGCTGTGCAGCACAAGAGACACCAGAGACAGCGGTAGAAGATAAAGGGCCGACTCCTAGCAGGGGTTAATCCAAGGTTTTATTCAGGGGCTCTGGGGAGCTCCTGCACCTTAGGGGGCCTCCTGCTGAGCGCCCCGGGAGATGTGCCAAGGTTACATTTAAAGGGAGGTGGAAACCCAAAGTCGATAACATTTTACCAACCAATAAGTGACCCTAAGGGATGGGTACTGGGGGTAGACATTTAGGACAGCGTATGGGGCAAGGCTTGGGGGGCTGACCCCTGGCCTCTGGCTAATCACTCAAAGACCTAGACCAAAGCTTCTAGATGGAGGGGATGGGATGCTGAGTGATTGACAGAGAGCCAGGGTGGGAGTCTGGGGATGATCTCAGTAAGTGAGAGGTAAAGGGAGGGGGGTACAGTCTGGGATAAACCATTTGGGAAAAATACAGGGATACAAAACAAAACACTTCAAAGTATTACAAAGTATAAAAACACACTACAAGAACCCACAGTGTGTTTGCAAGCTGAGACATGTCCTCAGGACTTCCCACAACCATCAGACCTGGGAGAAGTCCCCAGATGCCCTTAGGAGATCAGTGGGGGGCTGAGCACCAGCACTCCACTTCTCACAAGGGGCGGTGATGGTGCCATTCAGTGTCTGATGCCATCCCATCGCCGTGCCTAGGTACCTTCTGTGCGCTGGACATCTGCCTGTCACAGCTGCAGGACGTGGGCACGCTGAACATCTACCAGACAGTGCTGCGCATGCGGAGCCAGCGCGCCTTCAGCATCCAGACCCCCGAGCAGTATTACTTCTGCTACACCGCCATCCTGGAGCACGCCCAGCGCGAGGGGCTGCTGCTCACCAACCACAGCCGGGCCGCCCAGGAGAAGAGCTCGCCGGGGCACTGAGACCCTCTGCCTCCCTCGGACGCCGCTGCCCATCCTCGGGGGCTGCCCCGCCGGGACTCAGCAGGGCCAGAGCACCTCAGCTGTCAGCACTGCTATGGAACTGTGCCTTATTCAACCCAAACGGTGGCTGCCACTTTGCCGGCACGGGAAGGGGCTCTGACTCCTCTCCATCGTGTTTCGGTTGGGTTTGGATGGTTGGGGAGGTGGTTTGTCTTCTCTTCGAGTTGTTGGGTTTTTTTATTTTGTTTTTGGTTTTTTTGTTGTTGTTGGGACCACCTAAGATGTACCTAGAGAGGGGCTTTGCAAAGTCCTAGGAAATGTATTCCCAGTCCTGGGGCTGAGGAAGAGGCACGTGCTTCGGTCTCACCTGACGCTCCATGTGTGTGTCTGTATGTATGTGTGTATATAATATACCCCCGCTGTGACACCCCGGCTATTATATAGATACATATATACAACCTCCCCTTTAGCAGCTCCCAAGGGTCCCCGCTGTCCTGCCACCTCACTGCTGTGATCTCTGGAGCGGTGAGTTTGGTCCTGGCTCTGTCTTGTCTTCCCCCTTGCCCTTATTTCTCCTCATGGGCAGCGTTGGGACCCAGTACCCACTCCTGTGCCCATCCCGCTGGAGGCACAAGGATACCTGATGGTGTCCCCTCTGTTTCTTTGTCTCATCCTCCCCACGGAGAGAGATTGCAGCAGTGCTCCTGGGAGGATCTGGAGGATTGGGTTGTCTGTCTGGGGGGTGCTGAGCTGGCAGGCATCCCCTGGCCCTTGGGTGCCACTGAGGGAGTCACTAGGTACGAGGTGACAGGGTGACGGGGCCGTGGGGACCGACCGGCTCTCCAGGTTGCCTGGCTTTCCCAAGCTGCCACTGGGAACCCGCAGGCCCAGCCCTGCGTTGAGTCATGGGCTGGGAAAGCGCTGAGCAAGAGTAAACCCCAAACCCTGGAGAGGCAACGAGTCCTGCCCCAGCCCCAGCCCCGCCACTGCCTGGGCCTCCCCAGCTTTATACTGTAATAAGCTCTTTGAATGTGTATATTCTTATTTTTTTATAATCTTGGGGGAGGGGGGCGCAGGGGTTGGGCGGTTTTGTTTTGTTTTCTTTTGGGGGTTTTTTGTGTTTGGTTTTTTTTTTTTTTTTTTTTTGTATTTAACATTAACTTGATCCAAGCCAGAGCCAGAAGTATTTGTAAATGTTCCTATTTTGCTCTCAGAGAAACCTTTTTGTTGTTGTTACTTTTTTGGGAGTTGTTTTGTTTTTATTTGTATTGATATATAAATATACCACCAGTGACCAGTCCTCTTTGCTGTCGTGGGGGCATTGGGCAGGACAGAAGGAGGGAATTCAGGGCTTTGCATGGGCTGTGATCTCTAAAAACCAGCTGGCTCTGGCCTTATCCCTGGCTAGATGTGGACTTTGAGGAGCACAAGGCTGTGTTTAGGGCTTCTTCTGGCCTGGGTGAGGCTGAGACAGAGATAACCAGGCTGCAGGAAGCTTTCCTGGGCAGGCAGGATAGTGTCAGGAGGGAAGGCAGCACAATGAGCTGGCGTAACCAGGGGGGACACAAGCCACCCTGCTCCAAGCTCCTGCCTCTTTTCCCAGGGCCTTGACAAGCCTCAGGATATCAGTCTCCTGTCTGGCCATGGTATCTGCCTGCTGCTACCTTTTGCTGCAGGATTTGGGGGTGCAGGCATCGCCTCTGTGCTTCTGGATCCCCTCTGAGCTGGCATGGAGGGCACAAAAATTAGGGGGAACTCCTGGGGCTGTCAGGGAGCCCCAGTGCCTTCAGGTGCAAGCAATGCCAGTCCCAGAGCAGCAGCAGCAGCAGCCTGAGGCTTAGGGATGAGGGAACAAAAAAGGCAGCTTGTGCAAATGAAGCCCTAGAGCCAGCCAGAGAGCTCGTGCCCCAGAGCAGGGCAGCTGGCGGGTGTGAAGAGCAGCACCTGTGTTTGTTCAGCTGGAGCCTAAAAAAGTGAGGGATGCCAGTGTCTTTCTAGGACTAGCACAGGGAGAAGCTTTCCCCTGTGCTCTGTGGGTGGACTGTGGCGTGGCTGTGCCAAACTGAGGTCAGACACAAGCACTGGAAGGCTGGAAAAGAACCAGAGGCAGCAGGGAATTTGTCTGGAAGGGCTGCATGTCCCAGGGCAAAGTGCACTGGAGAGAGAGAAGTGGGTGTTGGGAGCACCCCTGGAGGTGTGCACATCCTGCCTGAGAGTGATTCTGGTTCAGCTGCAGTGTCCCATCCTTCCAGGTACCATTTTCCACCCAGCTGTCTCCTGGAGCAGCATCAGCCCAGGCAGTGTGATCTGCTCCTCCGGCTCAGCCTGCCCCAGAGTTTCCCTCCAGGCACCCATTGCAGGGTGGCTCCTCCAAGAGAGCTCTCATCCTCTGAAGGAAGGCTCCTGGGGCCCTACCTCCTCACTGCCAAACTTTTTCACCCAGCTGGGCTTTCTCAGCACACGTGCAGGAGGGGAGTGTTGGCAGTTCATTGTTAATCCTGTGCTGTCAGCAGCAGCTCTCTGTGGCTCAGCGGGGCTTTTGGCGAAGTGCTGGGTCCAGATCAGAAAGCTGCAGGTGATGCCAAGTGTCCCACGTGGCCCCACGAATGTGCCCAGCCCATGTCTCTTTTCCACTGGCTGTGAAAACCCAACCAAGCCCGTTCTGTGCACATGGTAAAGGTGGTTGTACATTCTAGCTCAATCCCACAGGATATGGGTACAGAGAACCAAAACGTTTCCAAGACTCGTGTGCTGGGTATCTGATAGGAATAACCAGAGGAGAGGGAGGAAGATAACCAACTCTGGCTCTGAATGGGAACAGCTTGGATATGCTGCTCCCTTCGAGGAGGGATGAAGAGCCCATCTGTGCTGGAGGCGGAGGAAAAGGTTGTAAACCTTTTCCATGGGAAAACAACCCAAACATTCACCCTCCCTTACTATTTCCAGGGCTGTGTTTCTTCTCAAAGCCAGCATTTTCAGTCCTCTTGCACAACATGATGTTTTGTTCCATCCATTCCTTCTGTGCCAGCAGGTCCTGCTCAGCAGTAGAAACAAGGATTTCTCTGGAAATGGTCACTTCACGCAGACAGCCAAAAGTTACTGGAAAGAAAAACTTTGTATTGTTTGGAGAGCGGTGGGAAAAATGGGCTGTTGAGTGCAAGCAGCCTGATGCCTGGAGGATCTCCCCTTTCCTGGAGTGGCCCAGAGATGGGGATCAGCCACCACAGGCAAAAGTAACACCACAGAATGAAATCCAAAGTTCCGCTGGAGTTTGGAAACGGGGATTTAAAGGCATTGCAGGGCAATCCTAAAGCGGCGCTGCCATCGCTGCGCCCACCTGTCTCATTTGGCTTTCTTGGCTGCGTGCACGCCTCACTAATGACGATTACTTTAGTGCTTGTAATTTTGTACCCTGGGAGTTTGGAAAGAGCCTAGCTCCAGAGCGCTTCATTTCCCAGCCCTTCTGCTTCCTTGCCTCCGGTTTCCAAGGCTCGATCTCCAGTGGCACCGCAGCCCGTGCAGGCTCAAACCCCCGTGTCGAGAGCCCTTCCAGGGGTTAAACCGAGCTGCAGCTCCCAGCTACAGAGAGAGAGGAGAGAGCTCCTCTGCTTGTCCCAGCACCACCCCACTGCCTGCGCCTGCAACGCTCTCCCGCTCTGAGAAAGGGAAGAGCAGCTGGAAAGAAAAAAAAATACAACTAGGAGACTTGGACCTTGTTTGAGTAAAGGTGCTTGAAACACACATTTTAACAGGTGTGGAACATGGGTGTTTGTATTTCACCCTTTCCTGAGCACGCTCTAGATGCTCAGACGAGCACTAAGGGGCGGCCAGGCCTGGCTGCTGCAGCCTCCGTCTGGGGAGCCCAGCAGCCCGCTCCACAACTTTCCAAAGGGAGACAAACACGGTGATTGCAGGCATCAACCCCCACGTCCAGCTCGTGTTCTAGCGGAGGGGAAGGCCGGCTGCCGCCGCGGGGGCACCGGCTCGCCCGGCTCCCTCCCGCCCTCCGCCGCCGGGAGAGGCCTGTCCCTCACACCCCCTCGCTCGCGGCCCCCCTCCCTCCCGCCGTGGGCGGTGCGGCCGTGACGATCGGCACCGCGGGGCCAATCCGCCCCGGGGGGAGTTCCCCCTCCATTCAGGGCTGCTCGCCTGCGCGTTGAGGGTAGGTAACAGCTGCTTCCCCCACACGCACTTTCCCAGCTTCGCCCCCCTTCACGGCAATCGCTTCCCAAGGGCCGGGCGGGCGGCCGGGCGGGAACCTGAGGGAAAAGGGGGGGGGTGGGAGGGGAGGGAAGCGCGCGCGCGCGCTCCGGATCCCGCCGGCGGGAAGCGCGCGACGGGCGGGGGGGGGGAGGCGAGTGACTGAGTGTGTGTGTGCGGGGGGGACGGAGGGAGGGGGCCATTGCCGCGGCGGCCACGCCCCCTTCCTGGCACGCCATTGGCTGCAGCGGCTGAGGGCACCGCCCCCCGCGGCGCGCACCGCCCACGGCCCCCCCCCTCCTCCTCCTCCTCGGTGCGTGCGTGCGTGAGTGTGAGCGTGTGCGAGTGTGCGGGGCGTGTGCGGGAGCGAGTGTCTATGTGCGCCCTGTGCCCCCCGCCCGCACGTGTAACCGACCCGCCCCACGTGGGGCGCCGCCATCCCGGAAGTGAAGGGGTCGGGGACAAAAGGCAGCGCCGCGCCGCCCCCGGGCCCGGGCCCCGCCGCCAAGCCCCCCCCTCCCCTCCCGCCGCCAAACCGGTTAGCACCGGGGCCCGGGGCCCGGGGGAGGACGACGGGGGGAGCCGCTGGCGCGGGCCGCGGCCGCGATGTAAACATTCCACAAAAGGGCTCCCCAGAGAGGGGGGCGTGGTCTCGCCGGTGGCGGGCGGGGCCAATTCGCCGCGTGGGTGGGCTTCTCGCCGTGACGGCGGCGCGGCCCCGCTCTCCAATTGGCTGGAGTTTTGGTATCACAGCCAATAGGGCGGCGGGAGAGGCGGGACGGGGGCGGGGTGCGCTGCTTATACGGACATTTTTCTTCGGCGGTCGCTCCCCCCCCTCCTCTCCTCCCTCCCTTCCTCTCCACATCCCCTTCCTGGGGGCCGCGGCCAATAGGGGAGGGCCTGGTGGGCGGGGCCGGCGCTCCCATTGGCCGAGACGGTGACGGGCGCGCGTCTCAGCCAACGGGCGCTCGGGGCTCCCCCCCTGCGCGAGGAGGGGCGGGATTTCCCGGGGAACAGAGAAGCGGGCAGCGCTCCGCCGCGGCGGCCGACAGACGGTTACTCCATCTTACCCCCCCCGCCGAGCCCCCCGCCCCCGCCGGAGCACCGGCGCCGCCCCCGCCCGCCCCCCCCCTCCGGGAGGAGGGGCGCGGGGACCCCCCCTTCTCACTGCGCCGGGGACAGCCCGCCCCCGCCGCCCGCCCGGGAGGTGCCCGCCACCCCCGGACC